CTGATTCGGCTTCTCCTCCAAACGATCCATCATCCAGATACCACACATTGTATTTAGAATTCAAATAATTGGATCAATAGCTAAACCAAAAATTGCCGGCCCGAGTGGATCACACTGTTGACATCCTATGGAAGAGGACAAATGGTGGTTTTTACAAACCAATTTCGAAGGTGCTCTATAGCATTGCCATAGGAAATTGTGTATAGATTGCGTTTTGTCTTTTATTTGTGTCAACAGGGTGGACCTATCTACCGAGTACAGCATTTTTAACATCCACCTTAAAGACAAGATCTTTTGGTTGAATATCTAATAATATTCTAAAAGAATGTATTCCTGCTTCACAACCATTTTTTATTCCATACACTAGCTGTAAAGGTTCAAAGTAGTTGCTAAGAGAGCTACGAATTGGTTTACAACATATCTTAGCAGCAAGACGGTGAAAATTAAAAGCTACCGCGATTGGTTGGATACCACTATTTTTTTTTTCTTAAGAGCGCAAAGATTTGCACCATAGACAACATTGTGGATGTTGGACCGCGGTGTGAACCATATTACATGGGAGTATCAAATTTATAAGTTTAGTTAATTCCTTTAAGAGGCTTTCACCAGCTTCACCATTGTTACCATTTAAGACATTTTTTAGGTGTTGAGGCGTTAGACCATCTTGTCCACCGGCTAAACCACCTGTAAAGGAATTGACTGCATTTAAAACATCGCGTGATTCTGTCTGTAAAAAAGCATCAGAAGGAATAGGAGGGTCTGGAAATGAAGAATTTGGTATTGAAGGTGGTGGTGGTGGGAAAGTAAACACTTTCAAGGACTATAATAGTTTCTGGAATATCTGGTGCAACAATATCATCGGAAAATAATAGTCTACATGCGCCTTTGATATCACCGTCACTTATTTTAGTTTCTACGTAATGAAATAGCGGTTCTGGTTTGGTTCTATTGGGGTTATTTGACGGAAAGTATGAAATTTGTCTTCTGGCAAGTTTTTTAATAATACCTTTTAGAGATTTGGGGTCGTTAGTATGATCTGGATAAGCGTGAAGAATTTTGTAAGCAATGATGTTCTCAGGGTTAAGGTGTTTTCAAATTGTCTTTTTTAATCGATTTTGTCAATTCTCTTTATGATGGGAATCGGGGGTTTAAACTTTGAAATTATTTGCCAAAAAGGTTGGGATAGTGTCAACATTATATATTTGCTGGATCGGATTATGTTATGATTGATTATATAGCTTTGCTAATTCTTTGTGAGGCCATGATAAATGTATTTTCAGACCTCTGGCGCATTTGAAATCGCGAGATTGAGAACATCGTGGGCATTGGACTAAATTTTCCGATGAAATATCAGGTACTAGATTACCTTGGTGACTAAAAACTGAATTGCCTGGGGAATTGCCTGCATTGTCTGGACTTAGAGACATAAAACTTATAAAAAACACAAACTTAAAACAACACTTTAAAAATCACGCTTTCTAAAATTTGTTTATAAAAATACTAAGATGACACGTGAGTGAGGGCGAATCAGTTTACATCGCCGATGGAAAACACTAATCGAGGAATATCTTTTTGCCATTTTGTCTGACACGGGGTTGTTGTATAGGTGACTTGCATGGTAGTCATAAATGATATGCCTTATAGACTCTGGATACCCACATAAATTCATAATAAGTTAAGGTGTTTTTTCTGAAAAACAAGCGCAGAGAGGCGGCGGTCAATGTAGAACTAATGCACATTAGTTTCCATTGTTAAAATATTAGATTTTTATTTTTGATGTTCAAAATCGAGTGGGGAAATTTGACAGTTTAAACATTTACCTTTACCTTATAAAATCTGCAAAGAGTATATTTACATAAAGATATAAAAACATATAATCTATGTACCATCTTGTCCACCGTTTTGAACACAGAAATATATTGTTTTATCGCTGAGATGAACATGACATCGATATATTTGGGTGATATCTGAGCAGCAGAGTAATCGTGTAACAAACAAAAAACATACATATGATCGATATGAGAACGTTTTCCTTTTTTGAAGTCGGTAAAAAATATTGGAAATTATTGTGTATAGACCATTTTGTTGCACATAATTCCAATTTATTAAAATGATATTTCTGTTCTGTGGCATGAACCCAATTCATTAAGAAAGATAAGTCACAGGAAGCCCGGTTATAAAGAATAGTCATTATAAAACCTTATGGCAAATGATTACGGAAAACATAATGACGGAAAAGGAGGGGAATTTCCCCTTGCAATTTGAACAAAGCCACCCTGATGGACGTCTCAGGAATATCCCAACACTATCAGATCTAGTGTGTCGTGAGATAAATTCGCTCTGTTCTATTTTATTAGTGCTCGTGACAAAGATGTACAAGAGTATCTTAAAGCTTGATATTTTAGTATTTTGAAATACTAAGGGTATTTAATACATAACTCAGTACCCTGTGCGGAGGTCAGGTACTGGAATCTGGTAGCAACGCGCATTTAAGTGTGTAGAATGACACAATATATTAAAAGAGTTTCAAAATTTGTTCAAAATCTGAGAAAATATTGTTCTAAATATAAAAAAAAAATATGTAACGCTCAGACCGCACAATTGTGGAATATGGTACCTCAGAACGACTCAGAAGCTGTTATGAAGCTTAGCTTTAAAAAAATGTTTTGTTAGGGCTTAAATATAATTACATAATTACTGAAGTAAGACCACACGTTCCAGTCGTGGAATTTTTCTGAAAGTCAGCTCTGAGGTGTTCCAGAACCTGATCTGTTCCAGGCACTGAATACAAAGTGATATATGCTTCAATGTACTGAAATATCAAGCTAAAGAAAAGTCTTACACATTTTTGTCACGAACTCTTACACTATATCTGAGAGTTCTTTGTCGCGAAGAAACTCTTCGCTCTAAATGAATTTATCACACGCAGGCAGTCTACGAATCAGCACTTTCATTAACTTTGCAACTTCCAGTCTACTGGTTTTTTTCATTGCCGACTCGGTTCAATATAAATTCTCGTATTTTTTTAAAAGTAATTTCTTGGATGCTCCGCATTTTATGGTAGTCTTTAGGGGATCCGCGACCTTCATTTGTCATTTTTATTATTTTAATGAGAACAGGACTTGAATGTGTTCGCTGAAGTACTTACCAACTCAATAAAAATGGTAATATCTCAAGAATGATCTACTGATATCTGTTAAAAAATCATAATGAAAAGAATGTTAATGTAGCGACGCACGAAATGTACGAAGAATCCTTGGTTTTATTTATGCTTCTCTTTACATGTTGTAGGCTGGCGTTAAATTATGTCCGATGTATTTTGACAATATAAAAACCATACAAATCTGAATAGGACCCACTTTTGTCCCGTAGAAACAAGAAATGAAAAACCATGATATTACGAATAAAAAATGTTGTTTTGTTTATTTGTATTTTCTAGACTAATGTTTAAATCGTTCACCAATATAAAGTCACGTCAATGGATATGTTGGCAGGTGCAGGATTAAGAGCCAAAGGATATTCTTTTCCTGTTCTTTCAATAACCTCTGGTGAAGCCACTTTTACTGTATCTTTACATACTAATTTCCTTTATCTACCACTAAAAGAATATAGGGTGTGCTTTCGGGGTCCGCCGCGGGCGCTAGGAACAAAAAAGAGGTTGCATTAAGTTCGCATTTCGCAACCTCCCCACTTGTCTTTTGGATTTTTCACCATAACGATATTAAAATTGATTGAGCCACATTTATTTAAATTATTTTCAAATACAATTTCAATTGATTGTATCTATAATTCCTGTTAATAGACTGTAAATTTATAGATATCCTATACTTTACTCTTTGAGTTATTCATACATTTCAATATAAGACGCATCCATCAAAGTTTTAGGCTTTTATTAAGGTCACCATAATAATTCTCCTAACTTTGAATCTAATTTACTTATTCAATTCCCTTAAATTTACTTTGATCATTTATCTCAAAAGGGTAAAGCTCTTTGCATATTTTTAAAGCGTTATTTTTACAGTGTACTTTTTTAACTTGATAAGGAAATAAAACGATTGTTATTTTTACTTTAAATGGTTTTTAGGTTGTACTTTGCCCATATATATTGAAAGGAAAGTTAGAAAAACGAGACAAGTAAATTTCAATTTTTTTATTTGACACCATATTTTATGCATTCCATTAAAAACACCAATTGTAACAAAATGCTGATATTTCTGTTACATTTTATTCTGCTAATAAATCTATAATTTTAGATGAAATAAGAATAGATGTTGATTTAAATATATATTTTAATACAACGTTTAGGAAAACTTCGTTTATCCTTTAAATCACAAAATTAATTATTCCGTGTGCCTATCAATAACAATTATAATGTCATCACAATAAATAAACAAGTGAAATCTGTACGAATTCATCATTATATCAACAACATATTGGTAAATATTTGAATTCAACAATAATTCCTTAAAGGAAAAAAATAATATATAATTTGTATAATCCTTAATAATACTAAACATTATCAGCATATGTCGGTTAACCTAAATTTAAATTTATGGTAGGAAACTAAACAAACATTTTCTTATAATAATTTTTGTTAATCTGTAACCACATGTAACAAAACATAATAAATATATGATTATTTACTTCTGTTATGTTAATTATTTTGAGAATTCAGTAATGCAGTTTGACAAGATTTCAACTAAATATAGTCTAGTTTGTGTAACAGAACAGAAGTTTGTAATTCCATATACTGGTCTGATAATAAACAGAATTAAACGTTAGTGTTAGCAGCATATAAGGTTATCCGAATTTAACAGACACTAATCTATTTTTACCCATAGAGTCACAGAACACAGAAAGACAAGTATTCTGTGCATAGTCATGTCAGATAGGAGTCTGTCGCACTTACATTCTTATCCTATAAAATGGACAAATAAGTTTGTTTGCATTAAAATAGGCTCCAAATCCACTGGGCTATAATTTAGGCCAGCGAAATCGCGGGAAAACATAGGGGATTCGTAAGATAAGGAGTTTCCTAGCTATGCCTTGTTATAGGTTAGTAAAAAGGGTGTTCGAATGGAGTATTCTGGCAGTCAACCGTCCATCGCTCAGTTAATTTAATCTTTCATAGTTTTTATCGCTATTATAAATATTAAAGTAATAAGTAATCAACTAATACATTTTTTTTTTATTATTTACGAATTACTTAAACGAGATAAAGTTTTAAAAAATCGCTAACCTGTTTAGTATAAGGACTGTTGATATTTCCAGATCTATTTAAAATTAAAAATAAATAATCAACACACCATAGTATATAAATTATAATATTTAAATTTGACGCAAACTACTACCATCCATATTCCCGTTTTAAGATGAATAATTTTAAAATACAAACTGGATATTATTTCTTGCTGTCAAGAGTTTGGCCTAACTCAAAACATTTGAGTGTGTCTATATTAAATTAATGAACTTGCGTAATTTATATTTAAGTTGGAACATTTTTTCTCATTCAAAGTAATTTCTTTTAATCAAATGTTGGTTATTCCAATATTTTATTTTTGTAGAATTAACGCTGATTGATTAAAACTTAAAATCTTAATGCTCGATTGTTTAAATAAAAGATCAAATTCATATTATTTCACTATAAACAGAAAATATAACAATGTATTTAATCAATACAATATATTTTTATTCAACATAACAACAAATATATCTGTTTGTTTTTTTCCAAAAACTAATATTATCTAACATAATAATTATAAGTGAAGTGTTTTATGTCATATTTAATCAATTCCACACTTTACAATTCACCCTACCTAATTCTTATTCGAAGAATTCGAATTCGAATCCTTGATTCGACGATATTCAACTTTAAGATACATTGGCTATTCACATTTTGTCACAATATGGATAATGGCGTTATATTAAGTATTAATTCATTCAACATTAGTTTATCAATCATCAATTCCTGTGAAGATAAAAATTTGGACGAGTACAAAAGTGAGGATATTATATGTTTATTTTTAATATTTTTGAGGTATTTTCCAAAGTCTAAAGCGAGAAAGAGGGTTAAATAAAATAATCACTCCTCAACCAAACCCGGGGGCTAATTGCCTAATTTTAAAATTTATCACATTCTCTTACAATGGCAGAGCGATTTATGGAATTGTAAAACTATTAAAGTCGCAATTGCTTTTGGAATGAATGATGATTTGAACGATTAAGAAACATAACAAAAACTTTATTACTTCCGTAAAAAGATTGCAGTTAGCATTCAACTCTTTCGGGTAATATTCACCATTGCTAATAGTAAGCAATTAATTTTGTTAGTACTCGTATTTAGTAATGGAACTGTCAGGTCTATAAGTTACCTAAGTTTTGTTTGTATATCAATTGTAAACGACTGTTTGTTTCCTAAATAAATAAAATAAATAAATAAAATAATAGCTTTCAAGTATATATCACTTTGCTTAGACAATTCCAATTGCGTCAAATTAATGATATCGTTCATTCAATATCTTAAAAAAACAAGTCGTGATTGCAATCGATATCTTAAGTTACATAATTGTAGCGTGAAGTTCGTGAATATCTTTCAAATTTGAAATTAAAAGGAATTGCGATTGGTTTTAAAATTTGACAATTGGGCCACTCAGGTATATTTTTACATGCAATAATTTAACAAAATTTTGCCTGTTTTCTAGTTATAACAGTATATTTATAGAACCTTATGAATCTAATAAGTTGCCGATTTAGAAACTTGTTATTTGGGCATATTTTTAATAAACATTTTATTGTTTTCAAGTGTTCCTTTTAATATATTATCATGGTCCTTGCGCTTGCTTCAAATAAAATACACATTCATAATATATATAAATGTATAGAGAACAAGGGCAAGCAAATAATGACGATAGTTTTAATTAACTTTGTAATCAACCTTTTTGCATCTGTTCTTTTGCATATTTGATCGTTTTGATCGTTTTGAGACCAATTTGGCATTCATAATGCTATACTGGAAAATAATCTCAATGTAAAATGCTTCAAAAAACCACTTTGGATGGACACGGATTGTGGATTTTGTAAGCATTTTCCATCAAGAATATTTCATTATTTTAAACAATAGTGATAATTAAAGATATTGTGTACTAATAATTATAGTTATAAACTTTTATATAAACTGATTCAATATGGTCTATTACCCTGATTACCTTAAAATGTTAAAAATAACCGAAATTTCATAAAGCTCATAGCTTTTTTGGATCCACAAATAATATATTTGACACTAATTCTTCTCATATATAACTTACATATTATAAAATTCCTCACTTAAGTACTCATCCATTTTACAATTAATTTTAAATATTTACTTATCAAAAACTACTGAAATCAACACAGCTCACTTAAATTAACTATATAAAAAGTTCCAACGTACATGATGCATAGAATTATTTTTAACTACATACTCGAAACACTTTGTTTCACAATATTTACACTCTAACCTGGGTTCTCCTTAAGTCTTTTTTATCTAATTTATTGTTATATTCACATTCATTATATACGAATATGTTCACAAGAACCTACAATTCCTTCAATACAAATCCGAAGGGAGCAATAAAGTAATAGATAAGTAGTGTCTGCTATCGAAATAAAACAAAAAAGGAAAAAAAATCAGTTTATAATTTTAACATAATTGAATTAATAGATAATAAACAAAATTAGAATTAATATAACATATTCTCACAAGCTCTTCATAACTGCTATTAATGTATTCCTGAATCATCAAATATGAAATAGTATATCCATTTTACTTTTAGAAAAATTTAGCAGAATGATTTACTTGTAACAATTAGATTAGTCACAAATGCATTATTTGAATAGTCGTTAATTATATATACAATACATTAACTTACTGTTTATATACAATAGTATACTACATTTAAAATCACAACTTTGTCCTTTTATTCACTACAACTTCGACGGAGTCGAGGTACCCTCATACGGATATCTCCTGTATTTGGACACGCTTTTTCATTATACCAGGTGGTGCCGGCGTAGTAGCCGCTGGTGGTACTCGAAGTATACCAGAACCACTCGCACCGCCAGATTCAGACTCACCATTCGACTCCGAGGCAGCTTCTGAATCAGGCACTGGACCGAATTTTACTTGCGTCGAACTATCCACTACGCGTGGTTCAAACGTGCTAGTTCTGCCTACGGATTCCTGCCGGCCTTCTACTTTCTGAATGTCCGGTTTTTGGGTATCTATGCACACAACACTTCCAGCCTCTATCGCACTACCTACACTTACATCGGGCAACGAACTCCGCGCCGCTCGATGCTTCTCATCGTAACAGCTGTACTCTCCAAATGTTGGTTCCCCACAATCCGACAACGTCCGTAAATCAAATTTGGAGCCAGAGCCGCGAGGCACATGCGCTGACTTACATTCAAAACCAAAACCTTTACCGTCAAAAGCACGCACTTCATAATCTAGCTTTCCATCGTAGTTGTCAGACGAAGAAGAGCTCTCGGCATCCCCGAGATCGTCTTTTGAACGTCGAGGCCTGGAGCCTCGTTGGTGATATATACCAGCGAATATTAACACATTCAGAAGCAAAAGGAAACAGCCAACCGCTATTGTGACTGTTAAGGCCGCTGTGTAAGACTGATAGTGTGAGGATGCGAGACGACGAAGCAATGCATCGTCAGGCTGAACTGATGTAGCTGTTGTGTTCGGTGGGCAGTCAGTGGATGGGACGGGAGGAGCTACTGATGGTCGGGGTGGAGATGCTTTTGGTGTTAATGTGCTTCGAGGGTCTCCACCTCGGTTGCTGTCGACGTTTACTACATGTGGCACATGCGCTTTTGACATGGACTGTGGTCTTACAGCACCTGCCGCCAAAAACGATTCATAAATAAATAAGTTTATAATTATTAGAAATAATCAAAGCTACAAACTGTACGAGTCAGGAAAAATATATAATATCTGCTTTATTATTTACCTTCATAGTAACTCGCATTATCTTCCTGGAAATGATGATGTCTCATTCCAGTGTCTGGCATATCTGTGCCTGGCCGGTGCAACTGCGGTATTAGAGAAAGCCACAGGGACATTTTATGGCCCCGATAGTGGCTACGCATTTCCGGTTTACTACCTGTTACATAAATACAAAGAAATAGTACAGTTAACAGCACGTCAGGTTATAAAAATCTGTCAAATTTCTCCTCTTAATTTTTCAACTCAATGCAATGAGGATAGAGTTCAAAATCAATTGAGAAAATTTGACATATTGTGGTTACATTTTCACTAGTCACTCATCCCGGTTTTGCAAGTATGTAGGTAGATATTTCATGAACGGATACGGTTTTTCGACATTTTTTATTTAACAAACACATAATACTTCTTTTCCATATAAACTTAAAACTGTTCCTAGCTTCATACTTTTCCATCCGCACAATTTTCATATATGGTTGCTTATTTAACCCAAGTCCAAATTGAAACAAATGAACAAAGCAAATTCCCACGCTATATATACTGACCCAAAACTTTTCGCTCGGCTCCGCGAATCCGCTTTAGTTCTACATAACAATTAATGGTAAAAATATCAATAACAAAACTTCTTGATATCATAGGATTAATTAGGTTAATAAATAGGAAGGTAATTTTCACGTTTTATATTGATAGTAATATTGATTAGATAAAAAACTTCACTACTGATTTGAAATAAAATATTGTAATAATATTGAACTTCAGGTAAATACTATGGAAAAATATAAGTAGGTGAGATTGTATTCAGATGTGATTATTACATAAACATTAGTTGAACTGGCCGAGAGCTCGTTTACACGATTATATAGAATTCGAAATAAGAAATTCACTTTCCTGCTGATTGTGGTATTAATCACCAGCTAGACTAACGATGGAGTGAGTGATAGAGCAGACGTCAATGTAAAACTTATTTAAATAATTTAGATTATCCTCATTCTGTTTTACGTACAAAATATACTAATAGACAGCCCGAGATTGCTTGAAACAAACTTTCGCAACTTAATTTTTTTCACACGCATCGAAAGTAAAGACGCATTCGCTGGATTTCATAAATTTTTTGCCACAGAAAAAAAACAATGGAGTTATAAAAAAATCTTTTGTATACTTTGTAGAATATATCAAAACCTATTTTTGAATGACAAAATATGTCATAAAATTTATTACGTTTATTTTATCAAGGTGTTTCTAAGAGGTATTTATATATTTTAGGTGTTGGCATTACGCAAAGATACACGCATTATAATATGCAATTATTAACTTGGTAATAAAATAGAAAGATACAACTATCTGAATCATATTGCTGGGGTAAATAAAAAAATTAAATGATTTTATGATCATCACAGAAAGAAATTACATTCCTCAAGTTATTATCTTTAGGTGAGTGTATCCGAATATTGTAATTATTTTGCAAGAAGATTAGATATTCTCTTTAGATACATATTTTTTTACTCTTTAATATTCTGTTAAGATTTAACGTTATAAATACCTGTGGTGCATTTGAGAGTAGTTTTCACCACATCTTAATGATATGACAATAAATAAGAGTAGATAGGTTACTTGCATTAAAAAGTGTCGCCTTTATACTATGCTTATTAGCATACCTGAGCGCAGTCTGGCGTAAGCATTAACCATGTGCATTTTATATACTATAATCATTTTAAAAATACCTCCTTTGTTATGCGAAACTGTAGAAACTACATAAGTCATCTTAAGATTCATTCATACTTTTATAATTGATTTGCGTTTTAAATCAGAAATATAAATATTGTGTCATAAAAAGAAAGAGTAAATACTCCGGTTACAAATTGTGAAAGAGATCTGTCAAAGATTATGTAAGTAACAGAACGGAATATTCGACTTTAGTACCTACGCTCTACCTTACATTTATTTGAAAATCTATATGAGACTGAAACTCCGAAACTCCGGGATTTGAATTCGGAGAATCGAAACCTAACTCCGGAGCTAAAAAATACTCCGATTCCGATTTTGATCAAAGCCCTCGTGTTATCATACATTTTATATATAATAGTCAGGTTTATTTTATCGCTTGAATAGCTTCATTATTTATACACGAGCAAATAATATATAGAAGTCTTTAACTCGTTTAGGTAGAAGTATACGTTAAACATGCATTAAATCATTATATGTCTGGTCCCGACATATTAAATTATAGTCTATGAATAATTGAAGAGTATCGTGCTATGTGCGTCTGTATATGCTGGCGATAATATTTGACATCGTATTAGTGACATGACCTATCTACTCTATTTTATTGTAATATCATTGTCACATCTGTTGTATTTCACATCATAAACTTGTATATAATGTAACACTGAGACATATTTTACGTATATATTTTATATACATACTTCTTAAAATATCTACACAATAGAAATGATGAAGTATTAAATTTTATAACATTGTTATGGTGCTTTTAGCTTCTTTTTCAAATATATAATTTGTGATACTGCAAAGATTACATTCAAACTTTAACATAACCCACAGTATGTCATTTTACATGTTTTTTTTTGGGCACAGCTCTATACAAATTCCGTTCATATCATTTATGTTTTTTTTTTTTTTGGCTAACTGCTATCGGTCATATGTTTAAATTTTCATAATAAAAGGTATTTTTATTTGTATGTGTAATTTGCCTTAAAAACATTTGTGTTAATCACAGAACATAGAGAGAGATTAGAAGTATAATGATATTAATTTAGTATGGGAACCGAGTGTCGCCTCTCCGCACACAAATACAGATTAGATGAAATGATCATTTTGTTCACTACATGAAAAACCGCCACGCGATAGGTTCGCGATAACATAAATCAAATCCCAAAAAGATCCTAAGCTAAGAAATCACACGATTAAAAACAAACTCTAATTCAACGTGATAATAAATAATTTACTTTAACATGAATGTTGAACTGTCACGTGGCTGTATATGGGGATACCAGAAGGAAAAAAATATTTTAAGGTTATGCACATTTAAAAAAATTGGGGTCATCATTTTATGTGCGAACTATTAATATTAGACTTTGCTGTAACCAAGTGAATACTGAAAAATTAAGGCTTTTCCCTACATAATTTATTAAAATATCTTTTAAAAAACGCAGTACAAAAACTAAGAAAACTTAATGATACACTCTATCGTATGTCTGTGGAGTAATATAATTAAGCGAGGGAAAGTGTAAAAAAAAACAAAAATTCAGAAAACAACAGAATTTTTGTATTAATTACATTAAGCCTAATTTGTATTTTTTTCTTACTGGTATCATTCCGATTGTGCATATTAGTGATGTGACATATTAGTTGATAAAATAAGAGCTTTAAATTTTGTCATGAAACAGTTCAATGTAATTCAGTTCGACAATTTTCTACAGTGGTTTGATAGTAATTATTTAAAGCTTTATTCAAATAAAACGAAATACATAAAGTTTGCATTACCTAATGTGAGGCATGTTAATATACTTATAAATGTAAATAGTGAAAAAGTTGAGATGGTGGAATCGACAAAGTTCCTTGGTATTTTGGTATATTGATAATTTGTCAAGTAGACTGAGTTCTGCAGCATTTGCTGTTAAGAAAATTAGACTCTTAACAAATGTTGAAACGGCAAGATTGGTATATTTTAGTTATTTTCATAGTGTAATGAATGACGTATAATCTATTGTTATGGGGTTCTGCGGCTAGCATTCAAGATATTTTTATTCTACAAAAGAGAGCTGTCCACGCTATATATAATTTACGGTCTAGAGAATCTCTCAGAGAAATATTTAAAGAAATAAATATTTTGACTGTTGCCTCTCAATACATCAATGAAAATATTATGTACGCAAGAAAACATTACGATCCCTTCACAAAAAAAAGTAGAAATAAAAATAAACTTGCCATTCCAAGTGCTTGTAATAGCCTTCTTGAATAAAGATATTTTCATTTCATTTCATAATAACTAATATGATCATTACACTAATAAATTGATCATAGCCATGTTTGTTTTACTTTATTATTCTAAATTTTATATCTGTAATAATAGTAGTAGCTATATTATTAATTGCAACGACTGGACAATAAGGAATTGCTGGTCAAGTATGAGTTTGAAAGCCGTGACAAAAAAAGTTTGAAGATAGACACAAAAGCGATAAGTACGTACAAACGTCAATCTACATATAAAGTCACATCCGTTTGAGACATGCGTCTATAAACTTATGTGCAAATATGGAGCAACAAAAAAACTGATAAAAGCTGTTCTGTGGGCGGTTCTTTAAAGTGGCTTTCTTAACTCGATTTCTATAATAATAGTTTCCGATTATGAATCAGCATAATAAGGTAAATTAAATTGACGCCTAAAAATTAATTTTGTAAATTAAATTCACACCACCAACAATATTACGTTAGTTGAAAACATAATTTTTTGTTTGTATAGATATTTTGTTGTTTTGAAATTCATTTGATAGGTTTAGGTCTAAAACAGATAGGGCAAAATTAATTATGTAAACAAGGCAATTCGTTGTAAAGTTATAAGGGAAACTGTAATAGTAATGCAAAATAAGTGAAATCCAGTTTCACTAGTTTCTAACAAGACCTATTAGGCCAACTCTTAGCTTTTCACGAAGTTTCGTTTAATTTATGTATTGTTCATAAAACGGTGATATACTTCGTAACTTAGATATTTATAGCACATCAGTAATTTTTAATATTTATCTGCGTGTAAATAATTAACCGAATCTTCGTAAAAAAAGTGCCTGGACAGTTCATTATTTCATTTGTTCAGTATCAGTTCATCTATAATTTTCCCTTGTAAACAGTATTTTTTAGTTTTATATAATTATGGCATATATTTATCGATAACGTTGTTATGAAATGATGAAAGAAAAGCTCTAAATAAATATGTTTTAGTTATCGATTACGATCCATATAATTAACAATACGATTCCGAGCAGCAGCAGCCTATCGGTACATTTCAGACAAATGGAGGCACAGCACTATTTTTGCAAAAGTGCACAAAATGATTTACATTGCTGTTTAGTAATGGGGTCAGAAACATTGATGTTGGTTTGAGCAA